TCTCCGTTTTTATGGATTGGAATAACTTTTGCTATTTTCATTTGTGAGGGAAACACACCAGTTCGAAAGGACAGATTACAAATGTATGCGAAAGGTTGCACTATATATTCTATAATACTTTTAACTAATATCATGTCAATACCAAAACAGTCAGTGGACTTTTTATTTTTAAATGTCTTCACACATAAACTGCTTCAGACTGGTGAACACGTTCTATGGTTTTAGTTGCAGTACCGGGATGAGCCAGTGGAGGGCCTGAAGGCACTGTGGCAAAAATTGGATCAAGGAAGCACCTGGGACTACTCTGTTGATACTCTCCGACAGGTATACACATTTATCTAGTAGTGACATGAAACCTGACACTACAATGAAAAGCAGTAAATGTAGTCTTTTTTATAATATATATAGGTGAGATCTTATATGGTGTTGATGATAAAGGACATCATATTAGTGTGTTTGTTTTTCTTACCACATATTTAAGGCTGTGTTGTCTCTACCTGATGAAGAGTCATCCCAGGACTCCCTCACAAGAGAAGAGGGCCTGGCCCAACTCAACTCTCTGTATTTGCAGCTTTCTGAACCTTCTGGACTGAAACATCCCCTAACAGCTGGCACCTTAGGGTGAATTCATTAACTTCTGAGTAGTAATGTAGGACTAGTTTCTTAATGTGTTTCTCTGTTGTACACATACCAATGTTCTATATTCTGCCTCTGTGCAACAACCCTTCAGCTTATATTGGTGTGTGGTGCCACCTGCAGGCGGCAGCTGTGGAGAAAACTGCTGGACAGAATGACTGCTGAGGCCATGTGGCTGCAGAACCTGCTGGGCCTTCCAGAGAAAGAAGCACGGACTGATAAAGAGGATAAACTTATAATCACTGATGCTGGGGAAATACAAGCACTTTGGCAGGACCACAGACATGTATATGTATATATTTCTTTTTGTTTTGCATACTAGTGTGCCATTAAGCATAGATTTCACTAACTTTTATATCAAGAGTGATATAAAGGTCAGTGAAGCTGCTATTGAGGAAACTAATGGAGCGAGATCCAAATTAAAAAAAGACAAGATACCAACAACTAACAAAAAAGTAGAGGTGAGAAAAAATTGTATTTCAGCCGGAGATTGCAAAAGTTAGAGGTATCGTGCAGGAGTGTGTGTGTGTGTGTGTGTGTGTGTGTGTGTGTGTGTGTGTGTGTGTGTGTGTGTGTGTGTGTG